AAAAGTTGCGAAAGTGGTTTCCTGTAGATTTCCCCAACTCCACTTTACTCTTGTCAGCTAAACTCCTGATCGGCGTCATGATATCAGCGAGTCTTGGCATAAAACGGCTTAAGTAATTCACTATACCGTTTAAGCGATGGATTCCCTTCTCTCGAAATGCCGTAATTTTTCCTGGATCGACTTTGATCCCTTGGGTTGTTAGCAAATGCCCAAGGAAAATCACCTCATCATTCCGTAGTTCAATGTTCTCACGTCTAAGCATGATGCTCTTTTGCACACAAGGCTGCAAGAAATGGTGGAGATTAGCGTCATGCTCTTCTTCCGTCAAGGTATAGATAAAAACATCGTCTACCACGCATGTTATACCAGCTAAATCGTCTACCACTTGCACCAATCAATTTTGAAAAAATTCACTCGACACCTTCAAACCAAACGTTTAACGCAGCCAACGATAACGTCCGAACAGTGTGACAAAGGTAGTAAGGAAACTGGATTCTACATCTAAAACTACGCGCCAGAATGCGGAAGACAGGCCTACCTTCGTGAAACATGAAGCTTTGGCCAAACACCGCAAAATGTCTTCTAGGGTAGGTAGCGCATAATGCTCATTACGCAGAGCCTAATTCAACAGTTTTGGGTCAATACACACATGCAGTTCACCCGTCTTCTTCGTAATAATAGCGACCTGATTAACCCAGTCAGATGGCTCGTCGACTTTGTCAAGCACACCCTCTCACTAATTTGCTCAATTCAGCGTAGAACCTGTCACGCAGCGTAGACGGAACTCTCCTAGCCGGTAACACAGTCGGTCGTATCAAAGGACAAGTGAGCTGTTCCCTCAAACTTTCCCAAACCCGGGCTAAACACAGACGGATACTGATCACTAACAGCGATTTCTCCCTGGCAAGCAGGCACTAAACGATCATGATTAAAAACAAAGAATCAAGAGACTTGATCGAATCAATGCAGAGAATTGGCGTGAGCTACTCTCCACGATCACAAACTCCAGTCGATGTGAGGCTCCATCCCTTGGGTTAACCACTTTGATTGTAGCCAAGCCCTTCGGATGAGGGCCAATCCGAGTCCAGCAATCGAATCCGTCATGCCCGCCTTCCAATGGCTGGCTGGCTCGCTGGTTGGTCCATCCACTCAATCTGATCTGATACTCCCATCATACGGGTCACTTAAAGTCCATTCTGGTAGGGGAGACGGACTGACAGCCCCAAGTCTGGTCAGTGACCCCATTCCCTACTGCCGGTGAAACTTTATCCCACCTCAAGATCAACTAGCTTTTCACCTCAACGCATGTATCTTTAGATTCCGCAATGGAACACTCCACGACGAAGTTGAACAAAAATAGGAAAACTGAACAACCCTGACGAACGTCACTTGTTGCCGGGAAGATATCCGATGATTCACAGTAGACCCTGCGGCTAATACCCCTGTGGTTAGCACTATCGGAGTCACTGCTCTTCCTGTATATCGCCACAATAATCGATTAACTCCAGTTAGTCGGGGTAACATTTCTCTTCCAGACCTGTTCGACCAATAATGTCAGTGCTTCGCAGATGACCTCATCCCTATTTTCAAATAGTGCGGGTGCGAGGGAATCCGAGCCAGCAGCACTAGACGAGTATGGGCTGTGATAGCGTTTCGGACCTCAGCCTACAACGCAGCCTCTAAACTAACAGGTCATGTCTCAGTTTGTATCACCTGAGTGCTGGTTTGGCAGCAGAGGGTCAACTGCAGGACAAATTTTCGGTTTAACTTCACTGTGCAATCGGTTCCCAATCACAATCAGGTCGTCTGAGACTGTGCAGTCATTTCGCAGTAAGCTGGGTAGCTACCTCAACATGGATAACACTATGTCGTTTTGTTCGTAGGGAGATCACTTGACGATCTATTTAATAGATCTTGATAAACAAGGTAACGTCTAACGAGTGTAATCCCGTAACTTACGCAATGTAATTAGCCCTCGCAATATACACAAATTACGAAAGTGCCGCATACCTACGCATAAAATGCAAACATATGAGACATACCTTGCCAGAAATACGCACAAATATAGGAATATATCTTTGTTTTACCCATGCAAGAGCATGAAATTACTTGTACATTATATGATATCTGCCAAGTATGGACACAGATTTTACCTTGATGAGATATATACCTGCTATTACCATTATTATTATTGTCAATTGTGCTCGAAAGTGCTCCACCAGGCGAACCATACAACGCTCATACATGTGAATCAGCGCACTGGCGCGGTGCTTAATTGTCTCACTGACACCAGATTTCCCAGGGCCAATGGAGTGGAGCAGATGGGAAATCTAGTGATAATAGCCTACTGTTCCCGTCTCCTCCATTTCTTGAACCCGACTGGTCCACCAGACTTTCTTGTCAGCTTACATGTTCTGCTAGATTTCGCGCCTAACGGTCAGTCTGCTTACAGTGTGCACAAAACCGGCCGCGAGTTTTCTACCAAAACCAAGCAGGTTCACCGACCATTCGGATATCCAGTGACCAGTGCGGTGACGATTCATAGTGGCGCAAGCAGAGGCTCCCGCGTAGTGCATTGCGGCAGAGACCACATTCCACTAAAACTCAGTGTCGTTAGGACGAGAGCGAAAGTTCGGTACACAGGGCATTCTGGTAGGCTTGTATGATCGAGATAACCTCTCAGTTCTCAATCGAGGGAGGCGTTTAATACGCCTTCCGGTGACGTTCAGTGAAAAAAGACAACGTACCAATGCATGACCAGAGTCGACGCAGGTATACCAAAACGAGCGGCAATCCAGGATGGAACCGCGCCATCTGTAACTTATTGCAACGTGATAAATTTGGGTTCATCGTTGGACAGCAATAGGGAAACACCAAGTGGCAATTCGGGACCCACTGTATCGAGATGCCGTGCTACTAAGCAACGGCCGATGCTCCATGCATAGATGTAACAGACGCGCGTCGATGTCCGTATGACGAGAGATAAACCCATATGTACAACCTAGCTGGACTTCTGGAGAACCCAGATGACCTACTTGCGTATTCATATCCCCTGCAACAACAACGAGATCTGAACTAGTATCACTGCGTAACCCCGTGTTCAGTTCGTGGTAGGTATTTCTTGCAACATCAGAACCGCATAAGAGGAAACTACAATCAAACAGCGTCTAGTACAAGTTAGTAAAACAACCTTAATGTCGACAAATGGCTACTCACACGAATCCAACTGAGCAAAGATAACTCAGGGTTGGAACTAAGAGTGATGTAAACCCCAGATTGACCAGAGGTTGCCGCATCAGCGCCTCCGGATGCGTGCAGCTAATAGTGAGAGGGCAAACCGGGCGCAGTTAATTCAACAACCCCATGATTTTAGTTTCGAACACGCAATACACCTCAATACCCAGTAGGTCCAACGTGAGTGCGAATGCAGCCTGTTGACATAATTGCCGTAGAATGCTAAAGTTGAACGCCGCCAGGAAAATTAGACAGCGTGGTTATTGCCGATAGACGTCCGGTGGGATAGGATAGCTGCAGTGATAACGCAGTTGCAGACAATAAGGCTGGGAATTGTATATGGAAGGTTAGTAATGGGGGTTGAGAGAGGAGTAAATTAAACGGGTGGAGAAGAAAAAAGGGGGCGCCAACTGTAGCATATTTTCGCTTATCCGCCCTACTGTGTGCAGCAGAAAGTTGTAAAGCTGCGTGACGGCTGATGATGGATGTGGTTGAAGTTCGACGAAATAATTATGGTTGTACGTGGGCTGATATACTAGGGCGCCCAGACCTAGACAGGAGAACGATTAGGATCCTCAACTAAAGCCCTTGGCCTAAAAGTCTGTCCGCAAGGAAACAACGATCAGAGGGCCAGGAGAATGAGTCTGACTTCTAACCATTGACCGCCCTAGTAGGAGTAGCTCTCAAGGGACCCTGGGGCACGGTCCAGTATAGCTCAATGGGTGGAAGAGTTACGCCAACTGCCTCATCACGATAAAGCCCAGCGTCATCGTGGAGAGCTCTACCACCGATGTAGACAAAGGATTTGAACCACAGCGTTACAACATAACAGTCGTTTAAACTATCAAGCATATGGATCAGCGCATTTGCAGTGGTACGATCACCTGGGGATAGAGCACGCGATTTTACTCTTACGAGTATGCCTTTAAAGCAGGATGAGAGGCCATCTAGACCGGCTGCTATACCGCGATAATCATCGTTAACTACAATGCGCATATTAAGCGCGGAATCGCAAGAGTACGGTCGGGAGTTACAGTTCCATAGAGGGCCGATGGAATACCCACTAGCAACAATTTCCCAGGGTTGTGATGCCTGTTTGAGTGTGGATGTGGCGAATCTCCTTAAATCCCAAAACTCCTTTACTCTTCTGAAATGTTTCTGAGGTTCACATACAAAACTCGTCGCGGGTGCATAAAGCATAGTTGACTTTTGTGCGTAGTCCCTTTGATTTCTACACACTGCTCATCGACGATCCATCACGTATTTACCAGACGCCTGTACAGACGGCGGGAGAACAGACGACTTACAATACGCTGTCCACATTAGGCACTATTCAGATGGAATGAAACCGAGGCATGCAAGAGGCAACCACAAGGGTTTCAAAAGCTGCAAACGAGTATACCACGAAATTCAGTTATGTGGAAGACATTGTATCGAGATCTAGGTCTAGAGATACCGTTTCGCGGCACACGTCTAGTCAAATCACACATATACAAAAGTGTAGAAGGGGTAAGGAAGTGCCCCGCCTTCTCCATGGTGTCTTATTTAATATCAGGATAGAAAAGTATTAGAAAGATAAGTTATTACAAGTAAATTCCTTGAAGCACATCCAATCGGATAAATAACCGACATAAAGCTTTGCAACGCGGGCTGTGAAAATGAGTTCGGTGATCGATAGAATGTGAAACACAACAGCGCTTTTGTGATTGATTTCTGGGGAGGTAGATGAAACGCGTAAAGAACCAACCGACACTCCACAATACAAGTCAAAATGAGACCACTTCTGTGCGTTGTGTGATAGCGCTGTATATCAACGGCTCGGTGACGGGGACAAATTGGTGGGTAATTAACTTGACGACTTCCTGCGCAACAACGCCTCCCATGAAGGCGGCCACCGAATGTAGTTCACCACCCCCGAATCGGCATAACTCCTGATGGAATGCGAGAAGAAAAGTAAGTTACATGGCCACAACCATTCACTGAGATATATGCTTTTGCGAACTAGGATTGTTTTCATCATGTGGATGCGAAGAAAACGAAAATTAGATTCAGCAATCCTTTGTTAAAACTGGGTGAGTAGCCTGGACTTAAGGTATGAAGGTGCTCAATGTTGCTACGTTGTGAACACCAAACCGACCAGAGGGAGTTCAGATACGCCAATCGGCTGAAGGCCCATAAGCGCAGTGCGGTGGACCCAGTTGCTGTTATCCGTGTTAGCATAATAAAAAGCACAAGAGAAAACGTAGAATGACAATGTTGATAGGAAAAATTTAGATTGTGTTGCACTAGTCAGTAGCTGGAGGGTGCTAGGCGTAGGAACGTTACATTTTCGCCGAGTGGGATTACATGTTTAAGTCAGAAAAGTACATTGTGAATCCACAGCGGGTGAATATTCAGCTTTCAGCACGATATAAATGCAATTCGAAATAAATGGAAAACGACACCATCATAAGGTAAATTAACAGGTTAATTCCCGGACGATTTTGTTAAGGTTGAGCAAAAATCGCGTTAGATAAGGAATAGCTGATAAACGGTAAGCTCGTATTCCGGCATATACGGACTTTCACTTGTTTAGTAGGCGATGTCGACGCAATGAGGAGGGTGACTTGTGTCAGTATCATTGCTTCATACAATCGCTAACATTTGGACACAACTGCATCAACAAATTGACGGTATAGCAATGGGCAGCCCATTAGGCCCTGTGCTCGCTGATTTCTTCATGCTGATGGTAGAAAGAATCATTTTTACGGAAATAGCCCAGGTGCCCTACTACAAACGATATGTCGATGATATCTTGGCTTTCTGTTCCTCGGAGCAGCAGCTCACACATTTGGGAGAACAGCTCAATGGTGCTCATGCTAACTTACGGATTACATGCGAAGTAGAACAAAACAATTGTCTGTCACATCCGGACATACTCATAACTCGCAGGGAGGATGGATTGATTAAGAGGTCCATTTAGCGAAAATCAACTTGGTCCGGTCAGTACCTGCACTTCACCAGCTTCACACCAGTGCGGTACAAACGGACACTTGTGAAGACTCTAGTTAGTCGTGCCAGACGAATTTGTTCGGCCGACTGTCTGGACGATGAGCTGGTGTTAATTACAGCAACACTAATGGCGAACGGCTACTCTCGAAGATTTATCGAGAAACACAGTCAACCGCGAGGGCCAAATGACTTGGTGCACACGGCAGCCAAGAAGTGTATAACGAGTGATTTAGCCACGCTGAAGACAACTAAGCGTATAATTTCGGCTACACAAGGAAGTTACTATGCTGCACAAGTTGTCGTCATCAACCGAACCCGAAATTTGCCCATACCTCCAACGAAGGAAGCTCAGCCTATTGGGGCCAATTCACACTGTGTATAGCAATTTGTACGTGACTGCGGAGACAGTTACATAGGCAGAACTAATAGAACGCCGACTTCCCGAATAAAGGAATATGCACCAAGATGGATTCAACGTGAAGTTGCTCAGATTGCCTACCGTCGTCAGATTCCATGTTCGCGCAGACCGCCGGCTTCCTCGATAGGCAAACACCTATTAGACTCGGGTCACCGGATAGAGCTGGGCCCAGCGTTTAAAGTTGTGTTACGTCACACTAATCCCCGCTTCCTTCGGTTTGCTGAGGCTGTCGCTATAAGTCGGATTAAGCCAGCTTTGTGTGTTCAGAAACAATTATTTGTCAGACTAAAGCTACCTTGGACGTAGGTGTGAACTTCTGTCATTCCTACTGTACCTTTAGCTTGTCTGGTTGCACACACTGTTAGCTATATCTATGCATATCGGTTATTGTTAATGGTACTGAGGAGACAATACGAAATGTATACATCTACCAGCCTTCGTCTTCTTTCCGTGCTCTTCATACTGCTTCATTGTCATAACTGGGGTGTATGCCGTGTAAAATATACGGTTTGGAGAACAACTGAAGCCCGTTTCGAGGCACACGAAACAGCGTTCTTTTTCACTTTACTCTTTCTACAAGTTAAGGGTTTGCGGCCACTCTGAATATAGAAATCTGTGATCAAGCATGCATCAAATCAATGGCTCTACTCCAAATACTGCTTTGCTTACATCACGCTAATTGACATGTCGATCGATGGATAGTACGAACTCTTAATCTGCGTTGTGTAGCCCTTGGAAAATGGGAACAAATGCTGGCCAACGAACACGACATCCTAGGTGTAAATAAAATGGCTATGCCACTTCAACTAACGTTCCAGTGTAATGCATCTTCGATTAACTGGCTCGACCCAAATTGATAATGACTATGTCGGTTGGCTCGAGTTGCATACGGTGCCAGAATTACTGTTGGTAGAAAGCTGTAAGCAACTATTTATGTGACGTGGACCTCGAACTTCGAGCGAAGTCAGTGCACATTGTCTGAAGACGTGGTGCCATTTAGGAGCTTCGGTATTCGCTAATGCACGGAATCGGTCAAAAACAGGGTGCACAACACCTCAAGAGGACTGGTGTCATACATGGGTCACATCAACAGGATAGTGATGCTCGATCGCTGATGTCTGAAAAGCACTGCGGGATGGACAAATGTGTACCACGGAAATCTGCCAGTTAGAGGTTGGAAGCAGACTTCCTGGTGCCAAAATGCCTGTTACAGTAGGGCTGTCTGCGCCAGCTGAGCTATGTTCGATGCACGAAGGTCGATAGGCTGCATCAATGTGCTTTGCTTGCGAAACACTACGTTGGCCCTCAGACCGACTGCTGCGAGGAATGTTGGGAAGGTGGTTAAGTAAAGAGTGCTAAAAAAAGAACAATGTTGACAGGATGGAAAAACCACTTACATTGACGTAGTCCAGGCTGACGCGATTGGGTGCGATACCAAAAGCTCGTAGGACACGGTTTAGGTGCATCAGGAAGGATGGTAAGTCAGCTTCAAGCGTGTAAGTGTCGGATGGTGACGAAGGAATGACGTGCTGATTGTGTTCTTTCGCGCGATCATCTACTCTGTGCGTTGATTCACCGCACACTCCTTTGTGGTCGATGGGGTTTAAATATTGGGAGGAGCTCCCAGGCCAACGTCCTGTTTCGGATAAAAAACTGAGAGCACCGCGCAAAACCAAGTACCACAGCAGAGCGTCATTGTCTTCGTGGGTCGGGATAAGAGCTAATGAGAGATAAATGATGGTTTTACGAGTAAGTGACTGTCAGAATGCAATGTGTGTTAGGTGATACATAGAGGAGTATGCTAAACTCACCTAAATCTTCTGAGCGCGCGGGTGAAAGCTTCATCTCTTCTTCCAACGAGCGACATCGAACAACCCGTAGGAAGGCAGAATTTTTTACTAGAAGCAGGAGAAGGTACGGTAGGAGAAAGATATACAGTCAAAGCTGTCCAAGGCAACCACTTAAGGGACCGGCAAAAAGTGGTCACCTTGGACAGTTTCATACACAGGCGACACTACTCATGATCGAATCCACATGTGTGACAAACTTTCAAATCGCGAACAATATCTGTAAACCGAGGGCTACTACAATGAGTTTTAGCTTCTAAGAAAGGCAACAACAGTAGCAGTGTATAGTGTGGGATATATGAATAATAAGAATGCAATAAAGTTACAGTTCATGAGACAACATTTTAAAAAAATGACCCGCAAATCATCGAAATCCACAAGTTTTGGAAAAATCATACACACATTTTTATTGTCATAATCATTTTCCACCAAATGAAAATAATCAGTTAAAATGAAAGAGGAATTTAGTTTTTCCTTCATGTTCATGATAAATAAATAAATAAATAAATAAATAATTTATTCTGTTTCATAGAGACACACCAACGCAGGCATGATCAAGTTCAAGCATGTCAGTGTGTCCGCTATGTGTTGCGTAGGAGCGTAAAATATCAACAGCACGCTGTGCGTTTGAATGTATACGTCTTCAGAATGTCAGTAGAATATTGTTCCTTCTCGTCGTCTGACTCACTATTCATATCCCCAACTGCTAAAATTGATGTGACAGGCAGGTCCCAGTTTCTTTCTGTTGCGTTACAGGTTTGGAGATAAGAATCAACCATATGCCTGTGAGCCAGTTGGCATCCAAACAATACCATTGAAAGAGTATCCAAAGCCATAGAGGTTGAAGGAGGTACAATTTGCTCGTATGTCTTAGATCCAGAAGCTATTTCTGCATAACAATTAAACCCGTTTTACAAAAACACTTGGTACATTTTCAGTGATTCTGCTTAATGCCAGATCCACAATCAATAAACTTCATTTTATAAACACACTTGCGCAGTTCAATAACCCACAAGCGATCCCCGTCACTGAAACATGATGTCTTCAGATACGTTTGACTCTACTCTGATGATTCCTAACTACCACCTATTTCAAAAAGATGGCTGCGACAGAAAAAGTGGAGGGTGTATTATATACCTGCACAAAACACAGCTAAACCTATAGACCACTCAGTTGGAAAACATACCTGAATCTATTTAGCTATCCGTTGCAGGCGCCTCATCTTACATACTGTTCGCATGTATCTACAACCCACCGAATGCGTCTAACGTGGGTATAACCAACATCAATTCTGCATTTCACTTCGCATCAGGGCTGCCACACAGCCAGAAGATAATTGCCGGTGATTTCAATCTACCGAAAATACGCTGGTTATCCCACCCAACGACTAGCTTGCACGCCACATATTTTTCTTCCATCAGAGCAGGGAACTGGACACAATGGATTACCAGTCCAACCACGTCCGCCAATATACTGGATTAGTATTCACATTGAGTATACCCAACCCAAAGAGCGAGATCTTAAACAATCTCCCTGGCAGCGACCATAAAAGGGTCCGACTGAGTTTCCAAATTAAAGTGGTCGCTAAACTCGCCTCTATACAACCAATTGCAACCCATAAGATAAACGGGGAATGCTTTCAGCAGTTCATTCGTTCCTCCGACTGGGATGTATTTTTCCTCTCTACTAGTGTGTACACCGCTGTGGAGCAGTTCTATAAATCCATCACGCTATAGCCCTCCTTCCCTACAATATGCCCATACCCCTCATATCTCCAAAGATTCCGTAGAGCACTTAATCAGCAGGAAAACCAAAAATAAGGCCAATGCCTCGATAAGAATCGCACAAACATCTGTGATGCTATTTGAAGACGTGGGTTGACAACCGCTAGCCTAGAGGCACCTCTTTAGTGTCCAAAATAAGAGTAAACAGAACGAATAGACCAGTCACCTGCGTCTTTCAGCTAAGGCGGAAAGTCGCTTGGTCCAGGAGTCTGGTGACGTACCAGTAGAGCGACTTCACCAAGAGATTCCTCTAAAGTGGGAAGTATAACAACGTCCCACGTGGGTTCAGGTGATTCAGTGAGTGATAAGGTCACAGCAGGCCTGATGAACGACTCAAAGTGCTCCGCCTAATGGTCTACGCACCGAGGTTGAGAATGTTTCCACTGTCCATCTTTCTTAGCTATTGTCTCATTGCTTCCGTCAGTTCGTTCTCCAGATGAATTGTAACAGTGTATCCAACTGTTCTCAATATTGTTGACCTTCATCATCGAATGACACCTGAACAGACTAGAATGCTACTGGTCAATTCTAGGAATCCTAATCGGATGCCGTTATAACGTATTACAGACGCTCTGAAAGTGAATACAGAATGGGACCAATTTGCGCGTTTCCATCAAACTAATAGGCAGTTTAGAAATCTCGCCAAACTCCAGACGTTTCAACCTGTGACGCAGGCCTGAAACGATGCAGTGAAGGAGCCATAGAGGCACTCGGATCCGGTCCTCTCGCTAGCAGCCCAGTGGAAGAGTAGCTTGACGCAACCTGGCAAGCCAAAGAGAGCGTTTCACCATGAAGTCTACTTATGAGAATGATCAAGTTTACCAGTGAGTGCACTCTCTGGGCAGCAAAGAAGCGAATTTTCAGGCAGCTAGTAGTTGATAGAGTCCAGGAACTTTCAGTCAGATCATTCCCTCATCTATTGGCTGCATATACCTTTTGCCAGGTGCTCAATATGGGTTTTGCCGTGAGTTTTTGTCTTCTGGTTTTGGAAGTAGCTGGACTGTGTCTGTACCGTTTGCGGAAGCACAAGAGATACAAGTCAGCAATTAACTCAGTCACCACGTTTGACATTGACGATGGGCGGGCCAGTTCATCGTGATGCTGCTGATTTGCGGATCATGCGCAAGAGGCTAGGAAGCTCGGCGCTTCGTTGAAGCCTGGAGAATAAGCCATGCGTGGGAGTACCAGGATATAATCGGAATCCAAGTACCTACCCGGCTAGTGGTCGAACGGATAAAGCGTCTGCTTCGTAATCCAGTGGTGTACCGGTTCGAATCCTCGCAGTATACCCAGCCTATGTGCGACGATGTGCTGACTTTTAGGGATACCCATAGCCTATCTTCACGTACCCCAGACCAATCGAGAGTTATGAACTGATGTGCACCATTTATGCATATCAGTGATAGCACTGTGGTCACGATGAGATCTCAGGTCATTGTGAAGTTCGATGGGTGCCAAGCAGCGCGATGCGGGTGTTCGTGCTGGAAATTAATTCCGTTTGTCCTAAGTTTTTTTTTAGTCAGCCCATAGCTGTATAGACCGATCATCATTATTTGTTCGATGCGTCTCTACCGCGTTGTTCGGTGTCCGATGGGCAATCCTCTTTGGCATTCATGGCACCACCGTAAAATTCACCAGCTGCCGACATAAATCGTAGTTGATACCCTCTGAGCTGCAATCGGTTTGGCGTGAAAAACAGCTTGCATTCAAACGGCGCCTATTAGCGCTCATGGAAGTTCTAAGCTGAACCGAGCACATGCGGTTGTTCAGTGGCATTCAGTCGAGTCAATTGCTTTCAGTGTATTTGCTGGGAGCACTAATGACACTATACAAGCATCGAGCAGCAAACCCGGTGTCGGTAGAGAAAAGAATCGTAGGATCGTTGTCGACAGAATCTGGAGCAGGTAGTAGCAGATCTGCTATGACGATCTTGCCTTAGATAACATTTCAGAGACAACTAGAGAATAAAGAATGAGGGCTATCGCAGCATGTTAGCCGAGGTGATCTAAAGGGACGGTTATTTTATAAACGGATGTAAAGTAAGACTCTTGCCACGGCGGACGAGTCGGGTTGCAAAGTCGGCGACAACCTTTGTTATCAACCAGATAAGCAGATATAAGAGATGAAGCAAGAAAAAAAGTATTGACGATGCGGTTTTGTGGGTAACTGATACTTTGCAGTTGCGAATTATGAGAGACAGGGCTTATTCGAAGAATCAGGCCTCCAGCATTCGACTCACAAGGCAGTGAGATGCGCAGCCATCTCGGGAGAGAGACCACAGAGTATCATCACAATCTGTTTCTCGATAGTAGTGGATTATGCACCATTTAACCACGGAGCATGGGTGGTTCACATCCACCGCCAAAGACAATCCAATGGTGTACGTGTTCTATGCCAATCGAGCACCATGATTGCGTTCTGGGGAAAGAGGACAATCAAACTCTGTCGAAACTCCGACACTCAGGAAGTTCGGACTGAGCATGGCTGACTTGTAATCATTGACCATTTCCATATGAGTAGCTCCGAAGCTACCGGAAGTTGCCACCCAAGGTAACCCCGTGGATCGCTGGAGTACGCAATTGCACCATCCCAAAATTCAGCCTTCTCGTGATGGCAATCGGCTAAAGAGGATGTGGATGAATAGCCGCAAGTCTTCAATGCAACTTCCAGATCACGCCAAAATTGGTGAACACCGGCCAAGGATACAATGGGTTTTCGTCGCGTCGCTGTACACCCATAATTACTACGTTTCTATGACAGCAAAGATGAAATTCAGCAGACGTCAACTTTCGTCAGCAAGGTGATATCAACTAGACTGGGCCTAAGCGTGATACACTGAGGCAAGTTAGGGAGCAATTTCCTAGTGCCCTGAGACTTACATTAGGGAGATCAATTTTTAGAGATGGGATGAACGACCTCAGTAACATTCGTATAGGTGGTGAAGGATGAGCCGATGACTTTCCTTCAAAACGAACTCGTGAAAAACAACCGTTTGTGAGTTTTAGGTTCAACGCGATGGGTGCGGAGTAGAAACGTAGCGGGATGACTCTGATGATGAGAGAGTATCGGTCTTGCCCAATCATTTGGTACCGTCGGCCTCATGTCAAGCTTCTGGACAAGGTGTGAACAGACTGGAACTCACATGTGGTTGATCGTAGTCTCAGCTGTAACATAAATAAAATGTTCCGTATGTTCTAAAATAAAAGTGACCAGCGTCAAGTAGGTTAGCATGACTAAGAAGCCCGGCTCGGACGGTAAGTCTGATCCAAAATGCCTTGTGGGTCAAACTTCTGGATTGAAAACTGCAGGTGGAATTAGCAACGAAAACTCAAATCCAACCCGCTACATGTAATTCGGATAGGACGGCCGAGCAAATACCAGGAACGGAAGAGCTAAACAAGGACACTCTCTCGAAGCGAACAACCGAATAGTATTGTCCACCCACACATCCTAATGATCAGTGTATTTCCTTTGCTGTTTTGTTGTGAATGCAACGCGGCGAGAACGAGTTGAGCATGCGTGGACGCACGTCTGGATGGCATAAAAACTATAGAACATAGAACAATCGGATCCATTTGTGCATTTCATTGTGGATTCAATTTTGTCTCTATATTCCGCTGTGCGTCTTTACCTACAACGTATTGGTGGTAGTTGATTAACACAATACGGGATCCCTGAGTTCACCACGCCTGTTTGTATTTCGCTCAACTACTCATTAGTAGTGCATCACAACATGTTTAGCTGTCCATAGACAACAGGCGACGGAGGTCTTAACGTTGTCACTCAAGTCAGTAATGTAATGAGCTCATCTGTCGGACAAAAGTTCTGAATCAAAACATGGAGGTTCAACATAAATACCAGTCACATAGATTGTTTGCGAAATACATGCACAATGTAGTGACGCGGCAAATCAGTTCTAACTCGCCTAGACTAGTGAAAATGGATGTTCTCCATGTCTCCAATGCTTGCAACTCGATGGGTCAAGACATTTACGAAACCGTGTTGGATCAGTCGAAAGTTGAAAACACTTGACTCAGATGCTAGTTAGGTACGCAAATTTTAATCTCCACCAATTTTATCGTCGGAATACGCAATGTCTATTTATTTGTTCAGAATAGGCCCACCGCGCAATGAGTGCAGATGATAAGTAGTCCGGAAAGATTTCCGTCGACGGTTTTCCTCCTTCCTTCGAGTGACTAAAAGTATGGGTATACAGCCATGATACATCATTTGCCATTGTCTCAGATGGCGCCGTATGCACTTGCAAAATCAGTAGACCACTCATAATCGAACTCCTGTATACAGCTTTTAATTTTCACATCCGACGAATATCATTTTGAGGGTTCATCGTAGTACAGCCCAGATCAGACTATCCTCGTGACGCTCGGACGCGCACTAGACGGTCGTTTATTCCTATCGGGATTCGTTAGTAGTGCACATTCCCCGGCTCCATAAGGAATCGAACTCACACCATTCGATATTAGCGGCTTGCGGCACTAGACAAAGAATAGCGGCAGAGGATGGTCATGGCTTATAAGCTAAATACGACAGAGCAGGATTAATCATCTACTGCCATGCAAGTTACGAATGTTGCCCAGGATAGGGCGAGGTTCTGGAGTCACGAAGTCCCATAACGGCAACTATCTACGGCATAGCAGTTAGCTTGTGAGTCATGACAGCCTGTCGCCGTGGCCTAATGACATAAACCACTGACTAGTGGCGCAAGCTGTTGGTGTCTAGAGGTCATGGGTTTGGTTTCTGCTTGAGCAGAGAGATGCGCACTACTGACTGGCCCCGATGGAACGAAATGACAGTTCAGTGCATTTCTGGACGTGTGGAAAACTAACGGGCTTGAAAACTACCGCGAATGAATCTCACTTAATTTCACCAAAAATTCTTACTCAGAAGGAATTGAATTCACTACAAGCTTAGAAGTTATGTTTAATTTTGCTGTTCTTTCCGTCACATTCTCATGACCTTTGATTTATATCTTCAAGGAGGAGTGAACAAACATGACTGAAACCAGGACATTCGGATGAGCGGATCACAGTTGACAGACTACACTGGTGTGACAGCAAAAGTAGAATATTGAAAAGACTCACCAAATAGGCGGATATCTTGAAGGGTGATCTCGGAGAACTGAACGAGAAAGAAGACAAGTACATAATCTTATATTTATGCATGATTTATCATTTGGTCGTCAGGGATAAAAGAAAACTGGAACACTTACCTGCGTCAACCTGGCCGCCAACCGCTGTACAGCCCACTCGCAGCGTTCCTGATAAATTGACAACAGCCGGAGATAACGCTTTGAGTCGGAAGTCATATCGGGAAGGCTGCCACGTACTGGCAACTGGCCTTCTCCTTCATTATTAACAAAATCTCGTAAAGCACCTACTAGACGCCAGAATGAAGGGCCACTAGGAGCGGACATGCCATACGACCGTACGAGGGTTTGGGACTGTGGCAGTACAGAATTTGCTCTAAAATTCTGGAATAAAGCAGGCGATAAAGTTGAAACTTGGAGAAGAATAGCTTGTAGACATATTCAGTTTTGATGATAAACTAGGATAAGTTTTAGATTTTAGTCGGCAGCGAACGGAAAATGATGAGGCTATGTCGGGCCGATTAGATAGGAACACATAACTATTGACTATGCTACCATGGTATACTAGCAAGTAACAGGGGGAGGAGAAAAAACTTCGTGTGTCATCAGCAAATGGAAAATGGGCCGGGGCTAAGGCGGATAGATACAAGTGACATTAGAAAACAGAAAGCAGTTAAAGCTTACCAGATTTGTAGCGCCATCAACCGATGAGGACAAGCCAGTATTGTCAGTGCATCGACTATCATCTAAGAGGTCCTTAACCTCGGGTGGGATCTAGACAGAAGACAAGGTAAGGCAATGCAGTAGCTGGGCGATAACTGGAAAGAAAAGTCGAGTAAGTGAGTTGGGGTCCGGAGAGAAAACATAGTAAAGTGAACAGTAAATGAGGAATATAACAGCAAATAACATGTTTAGGTGTTAAACTGTACAGAGCTGTAAGCGGTTTACGGTTTGTGGCAAATCACTAATAGTGGAAGCAGAAAATAATCGCGACCAGGTTGCACCATCCTACACTACAAACACACAATCAAGAGCGAGTTCAGGGCGCCGGAGCTTAGCGGGATCAAAAAGATGAGTGGCGGAGATATTATCTCACGGTATCAGTACAAAGGACGCAAGAATATGAATAATAAAGAAAAATCCATCGAAAGGAAACTGGACCTTAATGTGGTGCGATGGTTTGCGCGCCTCAGCAATCTATTGTACTATGCTGAGAGGTGCATGTTGCATCTTCAGACGCACTCATGCCGGATTGGTTAATGGTTAGAGGCCAGACAAACTCAGTCACCTGATCCTCCGGGCTGAGGGTTAGAGTGAAGGTGGCTCCTTTCTCCTTAAAATGAACCACCTATAGCCCAGTACCAAAACCCGCTGCCTTGCGGTCAGGTTTTTGAATCTAAGGCTTCGGTGGAGAACCCTAATCGTTCTGTCTAGGCTTGAGCAAACTAGTAGTATCCTGCCCATGCGATACAACATAATAACTCTTCAAACATTCTCTTGATGATCTAGCCGTCGCCGAAGATAATAAACGGCGCTCTGTCTGCTGCATCAAACAGGATAGGTAGGGGTGTCGGCCTCTTATTTTCCCCATCCAACAACGGTCTTACAAAGCATGAACAATAGGCCAGCAATTGCCTTTCAGTTTTTAGTGCCCGTAATGTTTCTTACCTAGTTCTTCACATTTTTCTCACTGCGCCACAGTTAGGGGAAGTGTGTTTCTCACCTTCATCTAATGTGTGATGAGGATGATGATGAGCAAAGAATTAATAAATAGTAAGGTCCAGCTACGGTATCATATAGTATAATTCCAGTCTGGAGATTAGTGATAGGTGTTTCATTACATCCATGCATGACCGACTTGTATACCTCTACAGCTGGCGTAACTCAAGGCCTGGTGATGGGCCCCACCTTGTTCACAGTCTCCATCGCCGCCGTATCTCAGCTTCTTCGATCACCGTGTGGTCTGTTCACGTATAAGTCGAAAATTTAAGGAGTTGTTACGAGCCCCCAAGACTGTGGTCTACTTCAGCAAAACCTCATCCGCCTCTCCATGTCGTCGACAGAAATTCGTCTTGAAGTCAACCCAACCAAATCGGTATTTATGCGCCAGTGGAAGGGTGGTGACAGCCTAACTTACACCATTGATGGCCAAGGGCTACATTTCACTCCTTTCTTTTAAGAAAACCCAGGTGTACTGCCGCTGTGATTTGTAGTCCATGAATGACACGGACAGGCTATATCATAAGGAACTACGCATGCGTTGGGCGCTCAAACGCAGCTTCTCTGCTTGCCTTGGGATGGTAATCATAAGGTCTGTACTGAAGTACGGCACACTTGCACACAAAAGATCGAACGGGTCCAACACGTCGTTACTATGATCACTACAAAAGTACGAGGATTACCGCACGAAGACCGGCGCAATCATACACTTGCAATGTTATATTATATTTGTGAGCCTAGTGAAACTGCAAGTCAGACATCCTAAAATGCCACATAAGAACTTGTCGAACGGTAATCAGACCTAAGCAGATAGTACTTGGGGAAACTCAATGCATCCCAATATAGATTGGTCACGACTGAACTTACATAGGCATACCTACCTAATCTAGAGTACCAAATTCGTCACAGTAGCGGATCTCCTGTTCTCGGGAGAGATCAGCAGCGAAACTCTCCACTCCAGCTGTTCTTCGTTTTGAGACCGACGTTTACACCAACGATATCATATGATAGTCTTGATAGTTCACAACACAATGCAAATTTGACTGTGATGATGATATGAGACAGGGAAGCCCAATGCACTGAAGTTCACCACAACGGAAAACTAAAGCCAATAAACCCAGGTTTAAGCACCATTTCAGATTAAAGGAGAAATGGTTAATGTAAACTGTTCTGCCCACCTGAGAAGTACGGAGGCATTAAAATATCAGTAAAGGGTGGTAGGCTTAATGTCTTTAGCTGTTGGCGTTGAATGAGAACGTAGATATGCAGCCTTTAAAGTAAAAGCAAGCTAAAACGATGGTTGCCAACACACACACAAACACTTACTTCGGTGAAACAAACAGCCGTATTCACAGCCCTGGCGGCTTCTTGAAAGTTGTCCAGAGGTAGAGTTTCGGTGTTAGGCTCACGCTGCTTAGTCAAAGCGGCTAATTCGGTGCTTGCTGTGAAGTGTGCAATGGGGAAAAGAAGAGTGCGTGTTTTAGAAGGAAAAACAAAAAGCGACTGATGTCAATATGATGTTGGTCACATTTGGACGCTATTTTTAAGACGATATCAATCTGAACAGACGGAGGTTAGAAAAGAAAGACATCACTTAGTTATGGTGGCAAACGGACATGGTTTCACTGCAAAAGAAGCGGAGACGGATGGTAGAGTATGATAGTAAAAGTGCAATAAGCACCGGTAGTCTTTCCCATTGGTTGGACTGTTCTCTTCAAACGGAAAAAACCTGTACGAGGCGTGTCAAAGAGGTTGCAGGACTGGTGTCAAAGGAGATTTATTTCAAGCCCAACTTCCAACAAAGTTTTCCATGCAAAGTAACCCCACCGTCTGCCAAGCTTGCACTGCACTTCTGAAATGTTCCTTCCGGGATCTGCCTCAATTCCGCTGTCACGGCCTTTCTGATGTCACCCACATCCTCAAAGCGAGTCCCCTTGACGACTTCTCGAGCTTAAAAAGGTGGAAAAAATCACACAATACCAGATAGGATAAACGGGACGTTGATACAGCAAGGTGATATCCTTTTCGGCTAGGAAATGCTGGATGATAAGGGCATTGTGAGGAGCCAAGAGTTGTCTCATTGTAATGGTGTAAACAAGGACTCCAACACCACGGTTTCGGTGTGCAAAAGCGCGGTTGGCTCGGTGACAATGAAGATGAATAAAGGTATCAGGAATAAGCAGACGCATCGTACCGACGCTTCGCTACCACACGACCACCACCGGTCGCGCGTAGGCTGGGTGTACCGGGAAGTTTACCTGACGTACGCGGATTCGAAGCAACGACTTCAGGAATATAAGGCAAGTGCATAATCCTTTTGGCAGCCGGCCAACAATAGAAAATAAACCCTTCGACCGATACAACACTATCCACTTTTTCGTGGAACTATATTTTTTGGAACAAAATTCACTGAAAATGGCGTGCTAGGTCAGCTGTGTCGGACCCAGTTGTCGTTTTGACAATGACAATGGTGAGGGAAAATGGGGAACAAGATAAGCGAAAATAGATGGGTTGGAAAGCTGACGGATAGGTACAAGGGGCCGAATGAAGGAGAGTAGGGGCACGCTCGATGTATCCACTAGCGTAGGAGTAACGTCACACATAAAGATGAACACTTCGTTAGTTCCACCAAAGAGTAACAATGGTTCTACCGCAAAGTTGCACACCCTGCCCATGACGAATGCGCTGACATTTCGTCGGCTCCATAGATAATACAAGATGTAAGAAGCCGCATGGACTAAGCCAATACGTTCGGTAACCACTGCAGTAGTGAAATTATCAGCGGGAACTAAGTGAAACGACAACAAAATCAAGTGGTCGTTCGGCGCCAGCTGAAATCGGTTGAAGAAACACACAGTTCGATAATCAATAAAAGATCTACTTGAGAAGCTATGTTGCAAACAGCGATAATTGTGTCCAAAGTTTTGACCGAGGCGCAGTCAGCCGGGGAGACACCAAAACAATAAGAAGAGGATACAACGTCGGTAGACGGTATGCATCAAGCACTACGACATGTAGAATTCAAAGGAGGTATAACAGGAGCATAAAAATCGCAAATAAAGCAGATTGCTGGAATACCGAAAATAGAAGATACTCAAAAGTGGGATCAGGTGTAAATTCTGAGGCCGGCGCTAGTGTTCTAGAATGAACTAGGAAGAGTGAATTGTGATCAATTTCCCTGAGACGACTCCTGCGAGTTGAAGAAAGAAGTGCATCTTAGTATTTGAGTAGCCACGAGTACTCACGGTACGCTGTCACCAACAATGAGAACTGTGGAAATGAAAAACAGACGGAGCACCAACCCTTTAATATCATCTGTTTAACATCCGACTTCTCCTTGTAATTTTGAGGAAAGTGGCCGTACTGAAAGGAAAGAATCAAACTGATTCAGGTAATTGACGGAGAAGTGGGATGCATCAACTCGCGACAAGGTTAGTTGGTTCGACAAATTATATCAAATGAAAAAGGTATGAATGAAATTCAGCACGTACTGGGGCAGTGGAACGTGTGCACTTTGAAGAATGAATCGCAGTTTTGAAAGCTACAGTGCATCACACATTGAACACATGAGTTAACTGTACAAACAAAACATGTAGAGCGAGTGAAAA